GTGTGTGTGTGTGTGTGTGTGTGTGTGTGTGTGTGTGTGTGTGTGTGCGTGTGTGTGTGTTACGTAACGCGGCGTCCCACAGTGAAGCTGTCATAGTAGCTCTGTGAGAGATCAGACCGGCGTCACCTTCTTTGACACTCGTCTAAACCCGACCAGCTCAGCTATGCTCAGTGTGTGGCTGTTTTATTTTATTCACAGCATCCGCACAATCTGGATTTTTCTACTTTTTTTCAAAGAAATCTGCACAAGTGCGGAAAAAAGAAAACATGTGTTTCTAAATTTGGTTGATTTGAGTTTTTGAAGGATTAAGTGAAAAATGTAATAATTCATGTACTAAATAAACAACAACAAATGCAAGTTTTATTAACATATCCATGATGCTACCTTCTCTCAGACTGACCTGAATAGTTCAGTAATTAGAGCACAGCAAAATCTGAGAGGGTCTGAGTTAAGCTTCCTCTGAGACCCCCGCCCTTTAAATCTATTCCATATGGATTAGACATCGACCACATGGCAAAGCTCTGCTGTATGTGCTGCACTGTCACAGCAACATATTTGTGTTCCTTATCGATCAAACATGAGTCATTTGAAGGATTTGTTTGTATTGCATCTGCAGATTAAGGAAATATCTGGCAGCTGATTGATTTTAGAAATCCTTGTTGATTCAATTTAAACTGTTCTTACATTTATGAATCATACCTCGCACCAACAACTTCCTGTATTTTACATCTTAAATCTCACAAATGTTCCATTTCTTGCCAAAACAATCTGCACAGTTGATCGTAAAACGTGTCTGAAATGTTGCGAGTGTTTGTGTTCGCTAAGTATGAATGAAGGCTCAGCGGGGGGTTCACAGTATCCGACAGCTCTGACCTCTCTTCTAATGAGCGGTAATGAGCTGCCCGACCTCTGGATGGACGGTGACACCAAATCCCAGCCTGGGCCCAAGGGTGCCAGCTGTGGTGGAGACAGCGACGTCCCAGCAGAACAACACAAAGATGTGTGTGTGTGTGTGTGTGTGTGTGTGTGTGTGTGTGTGTGTGTGTGTGTGTGTGTGTGAAAGGATTTCGGGAGGCTATTAACAGACATGTTTATACCCGTGGATCAGTGTGGCCAGCATCGCCATGACGACAATCATCACTGCAACGGTTGCGCTGCATTCCAAAGAGCTGCAACAGAAAGCCGCTCTCAGCCGACGCATTTCAACCTCTGACGATGTTTATCGATGTTAAATGTAGAAACATCACATTTGTGTGTCGAAAGGGATTTTTTTTTTCATGGTAGGATTTTGACTTGTCGTACCAGGAAATGCACAGATGTGAAAAATCTAAATAATGATGGCTGCCTCCCATTCAGTGAATAAAGCAGCCTGTTCTCACAAATCCTTTTGTGCATTATCGCGACTCGTTTTTTGTCTTTTCGTGCATTAAACTCTCAGAACAAGTGCTCCAGAAGTCAGTTGACGTATAAGGAGCGAGAAAGACAGTGTAAGGAGGAGGACGGGGTGGATCCGTGGGTCAAACAGTTGTTGATTTATTTACATTGACTTAACTTATGTGCGTAAATTAATTGAGGAGAAAAACATCCTCATTTCAACCCAAAACCACTATCTTTTTCTTAACCTAACCAAGTAGTTTTGTTTGAATTCACATGCGTTCAAAACTGTGATTTTGCATTCACGTTACTCTGTATATTGTTAATGCTGAATACATGATTTACGTAGGTTACTTAATTTATTGTGAAAAATAACTTTATTTTAACCCAAACCGGGATCTTCTCCTAAATCTAACAAAGTAGTTTTGTTTAAATTCACAACAAACTGTGATTGTGCGTCCATATGTGACGGGTTACGCTGACCAGCCGACCGAACTTTCATTTTCATTTCCATATATGCAAACATCCTTATTTCAACCAAAACCATGATCTTTTTCTAAACCTAACCAAGTAGTTGTGCGTCTGCATGTGACACGTTGGGAATGAGAACGTGCCTGATGATGCAATTTACTTGTGGCGGTGTGGTCAAAAGCTGAAGGGGAAAGAAAAGACAAGAGGTCAGTTGTAAATGATATAGTGTCTAGTTCGAGAGGTTCACAGATGCATCAGAATCTTTTCATGTACGTTTTTATTGTAGCAGAAACAGAATGTACTTGTAGCTAGAGCGCCACTCACAGGTCTTTATAATAATCAAGAATAATCCTGTGATCAGTAAACCTCATCTGAAATCACCTCCATGTCAACTAACAATAGTCTGTCCTTTGATAGTAATCTAACTCCTGCTCCAAACACATTTAATGTTGTCTATTTTGTCGTGTGTGTGTGTGTGTGTGTGTGTGTGTGTGTGTGTGTGTGTGTGTGTG